GAGAATTTTTAATAATAAATCCTTAGAACGTTTAATAAGGAAGAGAAAGAGAAAGCGAAAGTTACAGTCATTAGAGTTAAAAGTGTTTTCTCATCATTTTCTTCATTCTTTACAGGTAGAGTTGAGGGGAGTACTTAAATCAGTAATACTAGCTAATTTTCTTCTATAACAAATATAATTCACATTCTCATGTTCTTCTGAAAAAATACCAATTGTTCTGGGATTTAACACATCTAATATTTCAGACTAGCGTCTTTGGAAAAGCCTGACATTTAACCTTAGATACACTTTTCAAGTAGAATCTTTAAATAAGTTACAAATAAGTTACTTATGTAAATAAGATAAATACCTTGTAAATAAGATAAATACCTTGCAAATAAGCAACCAACTGGAAAATGTAAAAAAGACAAATATTGCTTCTTACCTTGTTTTGATCTGTCCAGTAAAAGAAAAATCCCTGAGGGTCAGACCTCAAAATAATTGGAGTAACAATAGCAGAGTCCTAGAAATGTAAGAAAAAAATATGTATATCAATATATATCACTGTAGAAAGTCCTACCCAGGAGTTACTTAACAAGTAATAATTAAGAGTTTCTCCAAGGTCATCAATTATTAATAAAAATATTTTTTAAAATTAGACATGGTATCTTTAATGTTATAGGATTATTCATTATATAACTGAAGTATTTTACTAATAATTAGAATATCTGGACATTAAATGTAAAGGAAAAGTCCAGTGGTGTACATATTTATTAAGACGTTTTTTGTTTGTGTTTTGTTTTTTACTTTTTTTTAACTTTTATTTATTTACTTATTTTGTATGGTGATATTGGTTAATGAAATCCAATAAATTTCATCTGTACTCTTTAACAGTAAGGCATTTATATATTTACATTGTGTGTTCACCTCACACAGTTAGATTTCTTTCTGTCACCACATATTTGACCGCCTTTACCTCGTCTACCTCCTCCCTGTCCCCTCCTCTGGTAACCACTAGTCTATTGTCCATGTCCGTGAATCTGTTTGTTTGTCCTGTCCATTTGTTGCTTTTAGGTTTATATCCCACATGTCTGGGTTATTTCGCTCAGCATGATTATCTTGAGGTCTAACCTGAAATGGCAGTATTTCGTCTCTTCTAATAGAACAAGTTTTTTAAAGTCATTGGCATGTTTTCTATTGCAAAGCTATATCTAGTTCTCCAAATAATTTTAACACCAAATATCATTACATATTTTATATGATTAAAATTCATTAAAATCCATGCTTGAGATAATTTTTTAAATTATAGTTGTTCTATAAAATTATTTTTAATTGTGCCAAAGAGAGTAAACATAAATTTGGGTATTGCTGTTTCCAAGGTAACAATAAGTAAGGTTATCTACAGATTTGGAAGGATATACACAAAGTTGGTACAAATTTAAATTTCACACAATAAAATAAAACATCATAGACAAATAGTCTTCTAAGTTTAAAGCATGCATATTACAAAGGAAAACTGTATGCACTGTAATTATAATATTAAACATTTCTAAAATCTGTCTTCTTCCCTTTTGGCAATTTTTAGAAAGGCATACCATCTGCACAAGAAAACATCGGATGTGGATTTTTATACTGAAATACTTAAGCCTTTATAGGAATTGCATTTTTAAAAAAATACATAAATTACCAGTTTGTTTCAACTTTTGCAAACATGTAACTATGGTATCTATCTGATCAAAAGAACTTGCAATGAAAATAAGAACATGAAGAGATAATCTGGGAATTTAGGATTCTTTTCCTGGTGAGTAGAGCAGATTGATGGTTTTGGTCTACATCGTAAGTTTTATTGCAAGAGCCTGATTATGGTGGCTGTCCCCTGGGGTTCAAATTCTAACCTGTCCCCTCCCGGCGCCTCATTTTACACAACCGCGACTAAAAAAAAATGAGATAATACCTACTTCAGAGGGTTTTTTATGAGAGCTAAATAGGATAATTTGGGAAAAGCACATGGACCACATCTTGGCACATAAAAATATATATTATTATTATAGTGGATTATATTTAAAAATGAGTTTATTAAAATATTAAATGAAAGTTTATCATGGCATTCATTTTTTATTACAGTACATATGTGACATAAACTTTACCATTTTTAAGCATAAAGTTCAGTGGCATAAACTACATTCACTTTTTTGTGCAACCATCACTACCATCCATCTCCAGAATTTTTTTCATCTTCTCGAACTGAAACTCCACACTCATTAAACACTAATTCTCCTTTCCCTCCTCCCACATGTGCCTGGCAATCACCATTCTACTTTATGTCTCTATAAATCTGACTACACTTGATACTTCATATAAGTAAAATCATACGTTTGTCCTTTTGTGTCTTGCTTATTTACTTGGCATAATGTGCTCAAGATTCATCCACATTGCAGCATGTGTCAGAATTTACTTCCTTTTAAGAGTCGAATAATATTCTACTGTAGGTATATATCATATTTTATTCATCCATTGATCCTCAATTGATATTTGGGTTATTTCCACCTTTTGGCTGTTGTGAATAATGCTGCTATGAACATGGGTCTAGGAATATAAGTTCGAGTCCTTGCTTTTAATTCTTTTCAGTATATACCCAGAAGTGGAATAGTTGGACCAAATGATAGTTCTATATTTAATTTTTTGAGGAACCACCATTCTGTTTTATCCTGATGTTCTTAAGATTCATTCTTCACATGCAGTTTGAAAAATGTCTTTTACAGGGATTGTGCTGTTGCAAAGAACGTCTGGAATTTTTAAATTTCAAAATGACTTTTAAATTTTGAAAAAGACATTTGGAAACAAATTTGATATTATAATAAAAGAAAAACTTTAAAATATTTTAAGCTTCTCCTATGAGATTACATGCAAGGAAGTTCAGAGCAATATTTCTAATAAATCATAGCAATATTTTCACTTCTGTTTCATCACCTACTCTTCTAGATTTGGCAAAATACCGGTTTCCAACAGGCTACGCACAGTACACATCCCCACTTCCAGGTGAATTTGGAATTAACCTGTAGATGTAACTTATTCTCAGGTCACTTTTCTTATCAGAGTGTCTGACAAGAGCATCTGACAAGATTCTTCTCAAAATCTTGGTGACTATTCACTGCTAGAATTCCAGACAATCAGACATTTCAAGTTAGCAAAATAAAACTGCTCAAATTTATATTTTGGAACACTGCGCTACCTCATTGTTTCGGCTATTGCTATTTCTAGGTTATTACCTCTCCTCCTTCTAAATTAAATCTCCTTTGTTCAATATTTTCTTGACCCCACTCTTCCGGCCACAGTTCCTCTGTTAAATGATCATTTATCTCGGCTCCCGGCCTGCTTCCTTCATAATCACCTCTAACATTCCAAGATCAGCTGGAACTTGGCATGCTTGCCATACAAGGCAGGATTTGACCCAGAAATACACAAATATCCATTTTCAATTCCACCTGCTTTTTTCCCACCTCCCACATAGCTGCAAGTTTCTATATTCTCCCCATACAAAAGTAGCCACTCAACCCAAATCTCAAGTATTTTTAATTGTCAGAACATATGCTCTAATTTGAAGTTTGAAATACATGGTCATCCTTCATTTCCAAGGCAACTACAGATGGACTGTGACTCTTGCAGCATTTTACTGCGAAATAATGAAGATAACTTTTAGATGCTCATTTTTTATTCTTTATCTTTCCATCAATACCTATGTGTATTCCATAATATGGTGGTTTTAAAACTTTTGGGCCCATCAGATTTTACCAGGAGGGTTTCTTAAAACACAGATTGTTAGGCCCCTTCCCTAGAGTTTCTCATTTAACAGGTCTGGGATGGAGCTTGAGAATCTGCATTTCGAATAAGCACTCAGTGCTGCTGCTGCTGCCACCACTGGTCCAAGAGACCACACTTTGAGATCCACTGGCATAGGCTTACAATGGGTGAGGCTTGGATCAGTAATACAATGACGTACAGGCCTGAGGAGCACCAGTGAACTTAAAATGTAGGCAAGCCTGTGTCTTGTAAGTACATTTGACTTTAATTGGCTTATTGAAAGTTATAAGGTATCTTTTCCAATAAACGTCCACCTTGAAAAAGAGAACACTAATAAACATACCTGTCTTAGTAATAGTGGATGATATATAGTAAATTTCCATTTTACTCCTCTTTATTTGACAGAAACCACTTTACTCTCATCCTTTTCTCATCAATAGTGAAGACTAATGATATTAAAGGTTTTGTAATTTGATGTTTTGTAATTTATATGAATCCCCCCAAAAATCTTTAGGCCAAATAAAGGACAGACAAGGAACAAAGTAAAGGACCACCATGAAATCTCAACATCCAAACGAATGCAAAACCTTTCAACAAGAAAAAGAGTCATTGGAATCAACATTAACATTCCAAAATCCTATAACTCTTTATTATGATGGTTTTCTCATTGATATGCCGACTTAAATCAATCAGATGTCCTAATATAATGTTATATGACAATTGCATCTTGATAAAATAGATGAACTATGAAAATAAATAAAATCACTTAAGAAAAAGAAAAAATTACATATCCTCAAGAAATTGGGAGAAAATGACAAAGTCACTAGCAGCCTAAACTCCTTTCCAACACCAGAATATTCTTTACAAAAATCCTTGAGAGCATAATTATGGGTACACCTCGAACATTCGTTCTGAGCCAGTCATTGCAATGTGAACTTTAAATGGAGTTTTGCATTTAATACTTATAATAATTTAAGAGGTAGACACTATTATTATCCCCATTTTACAGATAAATAGACTAAGGCTTAAGCTAAATAACTTGCCCAAGGAAACACAGCTAAGCTGCTAAGGGAAGCACTGGAAATGAAACTTTCAAGTACATGCTCTTTGTCAGTACTGCTCAACATTTTTTCATTATTGTCCTGCTAAAGAGCTTTTTTAAACATTTATTTTCCTAATCATCCTCCATGAAATTTAAATATCACAGATATTCTGAATATCTATTTATATGTTCTATGTATATCTATGCTTTATAGAAAATACAAGTAAAGAGTGAGAAGACTTTTTGTTCCTCAAGAACCACGTCCATTTCTTTGGAGGTCATCCGAGAACACATGCTCTGTACCTGCACTGTGCAAAAGAGCTCGCTAGCCACAAGTAACTATGTGAGCACTTGAAACACAGCTAGTTTGTCAGATGTGCTATAAAATTTCAAGGAGAGAATAAAAACAACAATGTAAAGAAGCTCGTTAATAATTTTTCTATTGATTACATTTTGAAATCAATGTATTAAACAAATTACATTGTTGTAATTAATTCCCCCTGTTTCTTTTTACTTATTTTAATGTCGCTACTAGAAAACTACATTTCTTTTGTGACTCACATTATATTTCTACTGGGCAGTGCAGCTCTAAACCTTTATATGGAGAAATAAGGTTTCTTGTTAATGGGGACATCTTTTTCACAAAGCAAACTTAGGTAATTCCAGTTAGCATATTTGTG